GGCTTAATAACCGGCGACTACTGTATTTCCTGTATTTGCATCATGCGGTTACATTGATTTCCAAAAGAACGAGCACAAAGAGGATTGAAGCTCACGGGCGTCACGAGGATACATGTAGATTAACGACTGGGTGACATCTATGGTCGGTCTCGCAGAGCTTTTCATCAAGTAAAAGTCAACCCCAAATATTAAACGACGAGTAACCGTTGTCATAGAATCCGTCTAGTAGTGTTTAAGTTTCTACTAGGCTGTCTGGTGTCCCTTAATATCCGGGAAAATATGGACGTGTGGAAGGTAGATGAGGACTTAAAACTAACCTGTTTAGGTACAAAGACCACAAGTCGAGTCCGTTTGATGTTATTTTGTCTGTCAACTTCCGCATGGTTGAAAATTACTTCCAGGGCGCGCATGCTCGGTGGAATGACGTAGACAAGTCGACTGAACGAAGCTTCCGGCGGAAGTTGTTGGATTTTGTATACCTTGCATACACTAAGTGCCGACAGGAATTTCATTGACGTAGCCCTATCCAGTGGCCTAATTAAATTTGGATCTACGAGCATGCACTTATCTCCAGGCAGCTAAAAATAACAAGTTCAAACACCAAACAAGCAAAACGAACCTTGCTTAGTACCAACTCCATCTGCTTCAAGGTTTGTGATTTGATCTTGGAGTTCATTTTTTATCAGGTTAATTTTGAAACGAACGTTGACTTTTTAAGCTCACACCGAAACACGTTCGGGAAAAGAGAAAACGAGTCTTTCCGGATTAAATAAAATGCAAAGCATCAATTAAATGTAGCCCTAATTAAATGTCCATGCACTACCAAATCGCTGCTCATTTTTTATTCTAAAGTAAACCTACAGAAAAACTCCACATGAAAACCCGACGACAAGTGATCCGGCAAACAAAGCCTGGAAAAAAACCGATCACAAAATAACGACGCTTTTATTTTGCCATAGCCGCCTGAATTTCAGCCTAATAAAATACGGATAGTATACGCATGTCTACTTATGTACATTTTGTGATTTAATTATCTACAAAATTCTACGTTTCAGCCATATCTTTTACGGCTTATACAGTGTTTCATCTTGTCGCCCTCACGCGTAGCCATTCCGGATTTTCGATATCCCGCTTTAACTGTAGGTGCGAACACTGCCATTACGACTCACTTGTGGCTGCCCACCAGGATGGAGGGTTTTTCATTTATTTGAATACTATAGCGTGGCAGCTTTGCGTTATGATGGAGATTGTGTAAGTACTGAGTCCTCACAGTAAAGCGGTAGTATTGTGATGCCGTGGTGGTAGGCGTCAGCTTCACCTTCCCTCAACTGTCGTTCAAAAGTTCGTGCGTACTTGTTCATGTAATCTTTAGGACTCTTTTGTTGCCATTAAAATTACAAATTATTTTCTAATATTTCCATTAACTTCCTTCTGGAATTGCGAACCGAGCTTCTAGTGGTGTAACAATGTGTTAGTGCAACCAGAAGAGTGCAGACACAAAGAAACAACTAAGCACCTGCTCTGATCGGATAGAAACTACACTGGACAAGATCCTAATGTGTTCCGGTATAACACTCTATTGACGCTGGTGGGAAAGTTGCCTAATCATATACTGGTGCTATAACTGAAACTGTGCTTAGTTGATTGGACTGTGTCTCATATACACCACCCTGTCGTAGGCACGTCTCCAGTCCGGTCTGACACATTAATATTCCTCGGGTTCGCAGTCACCTCCTTGCCTGGGCTACGGTCAGAGAACTGGTATCCCCTCCATCCTCTTAAGGTTTAATCTGTTTTCTTTTCACTCACTACATGCCTAGTAGTTTAAGCACATATATTCACTCGCAAGTGATTCACAAGAATGCTATCATTTTGGAACGTGTTGATGAAATCAGCGGAGAAACGAAGAAGAGTTTTTAGACCGAATCCCATCAGGCTCTTTCGTCCGTGAAGAGAGGAAATAGCACCATTCCCAGAAAAATAACCAATATCATCGTGAAAACGGGAAACATCCCACTTGGATAAACTATTCAGTCATAGATGTTCGTATCATGAAGTACACTCTAATTAGGTCTTTGGGCAGTGTTGGTTGGATTTTTTGGGAGTCGTCATTTAACTCGGCATGATGCATTTGATGAGTTACCATGGGATGTACTCTTACACTTCACTTAAACTTTCGCTTGCATGAAACCCGCAGGTCTCTGAAAGCGGATTATTTCTCAACATACTGTAGATAATTACTTCTGTCGAACAGCAGTTGCCGTTACTGCATGGTTCTACAAGCAGAATATGTTTCTTCATAACACATCTAAATGCACGCTCGAGCAAGGATGTCCATCGTGTTGGGAAAAATTTCTTAATGCTTAGTCAGTCAACTTCTGATTCCGTGGAGCCCCAAATCACCCTTTTATGAATCGTGGAAGTTGTATTCTATATATGTGTATGCATATTTTGAAGGCATACATGCAAGGAATATCCTTGAGGGCCCTATTAATGTAAAGTTAC